CTAACCAACTTACTTCATATGGTAATTTAGCGAAGAGTTATGCCACCGTATCTGTATGCATTATTGGATTTATTTTATTTCAGCTTGTCGTTTAAAGTGAATGGCTGTTGTTTGATATCCCCGGTGTGGCTTGCGCTTGATGTGTATGTTGACAAGGTGCCTACCTGTCTATTACCCACTACATCGTTCATACTGGCTTCAGGAGACAGTTGGTCGTTGCTGGAGGGGACGGGGTGCACGGTTCTTGTGGCCGTGCTAGGCTTAAAGAGCGGTTCCATGCACTCAGTGTGGAGCGGACTACGGTCCAGCCACCGCTTTGTGTGCGCTTGATTCCCCAAATACAGCGTGCTTGTGTTTGCCTGTGAAGGAGTGTGGGCAGGCTCCGTTGATGAAACGTGGTTCCCATCCGCATGCCTCCCGGTCTTATTCCTTCGGGTTTACACTGGATATGGGGTATGTGGTTGGAGCTGTGGGTGGTGCAGCGCAAGCCATCCATGGTCCCTCTGTAGGCGCAGGCGTCCTGTGGCTTGCCACAGTGACAGGCAAATCCGAAACCGGATGCCGCCAACCATATATATATATTTGCAAAAGTCTGCTAACAGACATAATGCCATCAGAAACCATGGGATTCAAACGAAGGTACAGAAACAGTAAAATAAAACACAACACAACAGTGTCCATGGTTTCCTCAGAGGGCGAGATACTACCCGGTTGCCCAAGCCGAAGTAGGGTGTTGACTTAGGGGACACCACCCCGAGCCTTTGGCTGAATAGCCTGCCCGCAAGGCAGCGGAGCGAATTCAGGGAATCGCGCCCATTGGGAGCCGGTGACTGATTGCTCAGTTCATACGCCTTTAGTTTGTTCCTTTGTCAAATAGGGGCCCAATGCTCCCCAGAAGTACAGCATAAGGTTGCTGGAATACAATGCTTCGCCAGGATGACGCAAGGGGCAGTGACTTTATTTAGTGGCGAGTCACGTCCGCCACGTCACAGTGTTGTTAAACGGACATATGTGGCTTTTTGTAGGGAGAACGCTTGCCAGGCGAAAACCCACCACGTCCTAAAACACTGCCGCCGAACCATTTGCTGGAACGGGAAAATCCCGAACCACCCAGCTGGCACCACGAGGAGGTTGTTCGGCAAACCAGCCTAAATAATGTGTAAGCTTTACGCCATAACGGCGCTTCGCTGCCGCGCAACCACCACCAGTCGCGCGCGCGCTGAGTATACCGCGAGGACGCCCACCCCTACGCGGATTCGAACCGGTGACCTAATGGTTGCAAAGCAAACGTGCAGACCATTCGGCCACCGGCCGATACTGGATATCAAGCACTGTAAAGCCATTGCCTCTTCGGACTTCGTAACAAGAAGTTCACTATACCGACACTGGTACGGCTTGCTGAATCCGTGCAATGAAATCAATGACACTCTTCAGGGTTTTGATGCAAGATCGAGAAAGAATACTGCGCAGTGTATGTGTTCACTCGTGAACCCAATAACCCACTGAGGACTTCTAACGCGCTGTTGACTGTCTCCTTCGCACCGACTTGGAGGGTATCAAAATGTCATTGGCCCTAGAAATTGTCTCAATAATTTAAATTTGTGGCTCTCTGAGAGTACCGTGTTTGGTTACAAGGCGGGTAGTAGCTCCAAGTAATCCAAAAAGTGCGCTTCTAGCGGTTCCAGGTAGACAGTGTTGGTTTCTCAGAAGGAAACTACCAATGTTGTGTGGGAAGGTGCAACATCGCAGTAGTTTAATCTCCTCGTCAGAATTTTAAGTATGGCCCTTAGCCGATAAACGGGACAGAACGCGCACGCGTAGTACGGAACCGATTTACTAAAAACATCCTGCGTTACAGTGGCTAGAAAAGCCGGAAAGTAAAACCAATGAAATAAGGAAAGTAAGGCAAGGTCATTCTCAACTAATCATGTGTGAGCCTGTGTTTACGAATCGATACTCCAGTACATTCGTGACATGGACCACCTGCTTTTTAACACACCTGATAACGTTCGCCTTGTTTTGTTCGCGGGCTATGCACCATTATATCATGAACCAGGCTCCGATGTCTGGGCCACGTGTTGCGTATGCCGGCACTCCGACCTTGGCGATGTGTATTGTTTGCCTGCCGGGAGTGTGGATGGAAAGAGAGGAACAGAGGCCAACCGACAACACGGTCAAAAGGAATGGAATCCCTCACTGCGATGTTGGCCTCGGTTGGAGCCCTTCGTCTCCCTTGTTGGGGCTCGAAAGACAATGGGCACGCTTGACTAGATACACCTGTTGATATGTCTAGGGGCCGACCTCAGTGGCGCTTAGCGTCCTCCAACCACGATCTCATTCCCGAAGCATAATATAACTTTTTTGCGGCACGACAGCTAACTGGTTGCTCTCCGGAACGATGTCTATCCGTTACTGAGGCTCTGATGGCTGTCTGTTTAATATTTGTCTTTTGTATTGCGGCACAATGGCTGAGGTGTCCCTACCTCTAGCTAACGTATGATGATCGTCATTCGCGAGCGTCGAGTGGACGATTACGTTATAGCTTCTGCATGAAACCCGGCCGCTGTCTGGGCGATGACGGAAACTCCGCACCACGAGGCCTACGGGACCCCCATGGCCGCACTCCAAACCAGAAAGGGAAAAAAGAAAGTCATATCTTTTGCACGAGCGCTTTTCTGACTCGGCAGCAAGGCGGAACAGTCTTCAAAAGAGCAAGAAGAAACATTTTAACAGAATAATCTAAATTCAGATGTTTCGTGTCTTCTCGTCAGCTGTGTACAGACAGTCTTTAAGACAATAATAAAGTAGAGGCAGAAGGCGGAAACTTGAGAGTCTGGCCTGTCCAGGTCGGATTTGCATGACAACACTAATCGCTTTGTATGCGATTTAGCAGACCACGATAAAACCGAACATGTTAAAAAGTCCATTACTCGCAAACTTAAAGGTCTACTGAAGACTAGACTGACTGACTGGCGAATGCCATGGCACTGCTTCGCCCTCTCGGAGGTCGACTCTACCTCATACGTACGGTTTCTCCAATACTCACAAAGAAGGAGTTTTACTGCACCCATTAGTTTCAATGTTGGGTGTACCGTACCAAAAATTGTCCCGTTGGTTAGCCCAGCTTACCGAACCTATCCGACGCGAGCTAACCGTCTATACCATCAAGGATCCGTTTGATTTTGTCGACAAGATACTTGATTTAATCGTAGACTGCAAACATATGGTTTCATTCGATGGTTGCTCATTGTTCACCAAGGTTCCTTTAGAAGAAACCTTCAACGTCATTGTTGCTCATGCGGACAAATTGCGGCCTCCGGCGAATCCTCTCAAGTCGCTAATCAGCCTGTACATGGAATACTCATTCAATTCCAGTTCAATGAAACCATGTACCGACAAATTGATGGTGTGGCCATGAGCAGCGCCCACTTGGGCCATTCCTAGCTGACATTTTCGTGGGCCACTTGGAGAGCACCAAACATCGTCATGTGACCTTAAAGCACTTGACCCGTTGTAGTTTGTTTGATTTGAACCACTGTACACTTTCCTTTTCCGGACATCTACTGCCTTGCAATTGATGACTAGAAATAGTGTAATGTTCGTTTGATCACTAGCATCATAATTACACTCGCCTGATGTGAATTATCGAAAAGAAATCTCTTCGCGCCAATTGTCTTCTAACATTTACATTGAAGAAGCGCAAGATGCCCGAAAGGTTTATTAACTTCAGCAATTGTTTGTAGTCTAACGCCAGGCTTGCTAATGTGAAGAGTGAGATTCAATTCCTAAAATATTGTTTACAACCTAATCAGTATCCCAGAAGTTACTGGAAGAGTCTCAGGCTGTGTCACATGCGTCCGACTACGAAATGCTTAAAAATACATGCGTACAATATTCTGGAAGCTAGCCCAATTACGTATCACTGGGCTAGCTCGACTTTGTGCACATTATCACTTAGCCGTGGAGAAACTTGATGCTGATGAACGTGACTTATTCGACATGTACTTGCACGACGTATGTGTCAAGTCCAGCGAACGAAAATACACGAAGCTGCTGAAATGTCTGGAAACAAACCTGCCTGATTCGAGGCTTCCACCACACCCAGAACGATATGTTCACAATCCTTCCAGCGTACAGTTAAAGCAACTACAACTGGAATCCCTTTCCTTGGGACCAAAATTTTGTGCATCAAAACCGAGCACAAAGGAAGTGCACTTAGAGACACAGTTTGAGAATGTGATGCACCAACTGATGGAGTTGATGCTCGCGTCTTCACTCGGTCATTGGTTTAGCCCAAAAACGTGCATGACATGGCTTCCAGCTTTTCGGACCTGGGGATGTTACGAATCGCTTCACATCCTCTGTGTATTGTGTCACTGCGAGCGTTGGCTATCATTCAGGAGTTTTTGTGCGGTTTGTGGGCATCCGTTATTCGGGGCAGCATATTGCTTCACCTTTCCGCCTAACTGTACGTCATTTTCAGAGTGCAAATCGCGGAAGAGGCTGCCGCGCGAGTACGTATGGCCTGCTTGGTTTTGAGGCGTTAGTCGACTATGGGATCGTGCACATTCTGATGCACGCGCTAAAGTTGGGTCACTGGATAGCAGGCGCATAATGTAATGTCCTTGTTCAGAATACTTAGATTCCGTGTACCATCGTTCAGTGTGCATCTTGTTTGGCTTTCTGTGGATGCCGGAGTGTACGCTTCGCAGACTTCGCAGATGTTGACGACGTTGGTGACGTTCTTATTGCGTGTTAGTAGTAGCTTCGCTGATGCCGTGTACAGTTTCGGGTAGACACTAAGCTGTGCTAACCACTATCTGGTTTCTGCAACCCATACCAAGCTTTCTTTTAGATCATTTACTAACCCGGTCGGCCGTTGGCCGAATAGTTTGGTAGTAGTAGGTAGTAGTAATAGTAGTAGTTGCTTTCGAATCATTGTTTACCCATAGTTTTTCGCTCCTGTTTCATTACGTTCCCCATTCCATTTCGCTCTCCAGACCATGACTATGGATCGCATCTACCACTTGTTCCGTTTACTTGGTCTTCGTCATCTCCCAGTGGTGGATAGCCATAATCAAGTAAGTGTTGTGAGCTCTAGGTTTCACGAAGTGCCGTCTTCCCTATGATCGATGTGCTTTTCATTTATTCATTCTACATTGCGTATAAATGAGAACCTGTTATTGTGCCATAATACGAGGCAGTCACATGATCATAATAATGCAAAAGAAAACGAAAAGCGAAATATTACACTCTTTAGCCATCAAACACCAGTTGGATTGGGAGTCTAAGTGCGATGGGAACGGATAGAGAAACACAACCTAAAAACCACTGAGGCTCCGGGTCTTGGTCATATCAGCACGTGTTGATCCTACAGGACTCTGGAGGTCGATTTTGAGGGGTGAGCCATCATTCCTCCTAACTAATTCATCCGCTCTCTTTTTCCACAACCCTGGTCACGCAAACGGATCGTTTCACTTGTCCGCTTGTCACTGATCGTGATGCGGTCGATTTGCGTCCACGATTGGTCCTAGGCTACTGGGTACCATGTAACTTTTCGGAGGGTGCTGTGATGGAAGTTAGTCCTTGTGTGAATTAGACAAAGATCTTCACATAGGCATAGAAACCGCTCACCGCTATCATTACGAAAGCGGACGCTGTGTTGGTCTCTGGTTATCAGTGGAGGATTTTTCAGCTTGAGCGTTCGAATCAGGGACTTACGCCACAATATCTGTACCTCTACTGTGACGAAACAGCTCATTCGATTGACTGTCGAAGCCATCTTTCATGTAATCCGGGCTACACTCTTTGGCGGCGTAGGCAATAATGACACAAATATGTACCTAGTTTTTCCACGTGACTTCGGGACTTTGAACAAACCAAGTAGTCCGACGGTACACTTCCGGTTAATGACTGAGATCCAATCAGCCGGAGCAGCTTCAACCGTAGGACTCAGGGCAATGCCCACACCGGCTTGACAGGCATTAGAAGATGCATTGTTCCCGGTTAGACGAGATGAGAAACTGCCGATAACGTCACGCGAAAGAGATCGTAGAGTGTGTACAAAGCTCGAGTATGTTCCCGACAAACAGCGTATATCGATCGATATTGTCTTTAGTTTTCGGGCAGACTTTGAGTGTTGAGCGTACTGCAGCAGTGCATACGTCCAGGCATATCGCTGTTAGCGAGGATCGAATGCTCCAAATAGAGCCGGATACATTGTGACTGTTACTTGATTGACAACCGACAGAGTCGAAACGGCGCTATTCAATTGTGTGTTAGTCGAAGCCACACTGCGATAGTCTAGTAAACCGCAATGAGTGGGGTTGCAAATAGAGGACGAAAGAGAAGTTGTAAGGGGATGATTGAAGCAGAAAAATGTAATAGATGGATTAAAGAGACAGAATTCTCTGAACAATGACATCCGCGTCTCTGTCGACTCCGCTCGTTGCAGCAGATATAATCCCGTTGTTTATCCTCTGCGATGGTCAGATCATTAAGAAAACGCTGATAGTTTGCGTTGTTTTGCGCGGGAGCGATTTTGTCATGTTGCCCAGGTTTATACAGTAGAACGATAGGGATTCTTAAGCAAAGGTTTTTGGTTCAAGGAACCTGATCTCAAAACCACTGGGGTAGTTAGCTACAGGTAATCTGTCTTAAGAAATACGGACCCACCTTCATGCAAAACGTAAATGAGTGACTAGACTCTCAAAAAGCACTACCCAAGCCACCGCGATAGATCGTTAAGGTATATAAACGATCACACCACATTCATGTCCAATGTTATTACGACGGTGGGGTGGGCTGCTGAGTTCCACATTGTTTTGCAGGTTAATGATCAAATTACTACGCTAGGGTTTCCTTTCAGCCGACACAACCATGCGTAACCTGAATCGCAGTGAGTACACTGTATCATCGAATTAGTTGATATCCAATGTTTCGGCAAACTGGTAGCTCGGGTTGATAATTCAGTTGCTCATTTGTTCGCCGAGCTGCATTGACACCGATCCAACCTCACAGCTGGCAAACAAATTAAACAAAACGTTGAAACAACTTCAAGAAAAGAATCAAATCACGAAGGAGGAGAGCGAACGAATGAGAGCCCGTGACTCGAGCATCGCGCAATTCTATGGACTCCCAAAGGTACACAAAAATGATGCACCATTACGACCGATCGTGTCACTACCAGGAACACCCACCTACAACTTGACGAAAGAAATGTGTAGACGCCTCAAACATCTGACCTGAGCAACTGAACTAGTTGATATCCGTTTTTTATACACTGAATTCAGCAACCCATTCGGGTGTGAGGTTGACTTGGTGTTCAGTGTAATTCTATTCAGGTGAAGCACCCATCACCCGAACATCATCGTTGGTCCAATCAGATTCCGGGTCCACAGGTGTTGGCCGTCAATTCACCGTTATTCACTGGAAGAGTCGATCAGACTGCAACCAACTGTCCAGGAAGGGACCTTGCCTTCCATTCATCTTTCCACTAATGAATCTCAGATTGTTGTTCCTGTAAACTGAAAGCGCTTTCAATTCTCTTAACAAATTTTAATCTACGCGAATGTGACGGAGCTTTTAAATCGGCCATTGCCTTTTCACTGAAACTTCTCCCTGTATCGGCTGCGGATTTACCACTTTTCACTGAGCTTCTGACATTTTCTTCAGTTGGACTAGTTACAAGGTCACTGGGGCTGTCCTTCACCGATTTTTGAAAATGTATTTTGTGATACTGCGTTTGTTGCGCCAAGTTATTAGAAGGCACTTTGTAACATAGTTATCTTCGGAGCGACACTTTAACGTCAACAGGATGCGGATTCGGGTCCGATAATTAGTGACAATTCTAATCCTAATGGCATTCTTCTAATTGTAAAATTTTGCATTTTTAATGATATTCTTGTAAAACATCCGTGGTGGATGCTGTAAAATGCTGAAAATGTTCCACTCTCGGTTGCTTGATTGCATGTGATGCTTCACAGTCTCGGTACCTTTACCAACGTTTTACCGTAATTACAAGCTACTATCATTCTAGAAGTAGTTTAATTACCATATTTTATTTTATTTTTTAATGGTGCCCTTGACGTATTCAGCAGAGTCGGAAATCACACACTCGTCGTTCACTTCTCTGTGATGTTTGTTACCGATACACAGTACAGATAATGGTACGGTTTTTTTATTCAGTTAATACACCACCGGGCGTACGAGCCTCATGCACCAGCCAGACTTTGATAGCAGTAATAAGTTCAAGAACCTTCTCGGTACTTCACACCCCTGTGATTGCATAGGTTATGGCATGGCTGACGACTAAATTGTTGCCTGTCTGTGGAACAAATGTCTCTGATCTGTTTGAGTACCTTATTTTTCAGACTGTAAGGCGCACTTAAAATCCTTATATTTGCTAAAAAAAAATCGGCAGTGCGCCTTGTGTATGAATGGTTATGCTGAGACCTAGTGACCTCAAAGCAAGTTCTATGATCACAGTGCACTGAAAATCTGTCAAAATGTTTAATTGCGACTGTAATTGTCGAAGCATAATTGCTAGTTACGAACCTCGTGGAGTCAGCTTCCTCTGTTATTTAGACAGACTTGTTTTAGGTGTGGCAAACTCTGTGCAGCAAACAACTGATTCGAGCTTTTCTAGCGACGATAAACCAACCAACTATTCAACCATTCACGATGATATCCCATACTGTGATATATCTGATGGTTATTCCACCCGGTGAACTCACTTGATCCAAGTATGAACCTTACAAAGACTGTCCAAAACGCGCAACTGTATCTCGCTGTGCTCACACCAGTGTTCCAAAGACGTACGGTCATCCAGACAATCGGCGACGCCCGTGTGGGCTTCACTCACCTCATCGTCCAAACTGAGGTTTTCGGAACACGTCATTGTGCTAGTACTACGAAGAGAGTAACGGTGCAGTTACCGAGAAATGTGTGATAACATGCAATGTAGTCAACATATGAGGTCAAGCACGATAACATTATTCAGCGTCAGTCGCATGCTTTCGATCAACACGAAGCTTGTTAGCTTACCCCTACCACTTTTCCTGATACGTACTGGGCTTCAACATGCCATCACCATCATTTTACACGTTAGCTAGATGTGTAAAATACCTTAGCTACTGTGCTGCAACACATAAAAAAGAAAATAACTGCAACAGTTACATGCCATCTGAGCTACTAGGAATGGATGGACATCGTTCCGGTAAGTTACCAGCCCGCTACTTGACAAAAAGAAACATTATTATGCAATATTGTATTACGCTGAGAAATGAAATCGTGGTTAGAGGGGGTGACTAAAGCGGATGGGGAAGGACAGAAACTCACAGCACGAACGCCACTGAGGTCGGCTCCTAGCCATATCAACAAGTAAATCCAGCCAAACGTGTTCATCGTCTTTCGGACCCCAACCAGGGAGCCGAGACGCTCCAACTGAGGCCAGCTTCGAAGTGAGGGCCTTCATTCCTCTCGACCAAGTCATCGCTTGACCACTCCTCCTCTTCTTCCATCCACATCGCCGGTGAGCAAACACCGCACGTTGCAGAAGCCGGTGAGCTGGCATGCGTAACACGTGGCCGAGCCATCGGGGCCCGGTTGGTGAAATGACGGTGCTGAGCGGTTCAGTTCCTTTTCCTGTGCCGTAAACAAGGCATCGAACACGCTGGTTGCTCACGCGGTGTTCCCACCAGTTGTGAGCCAAACTGCGAAGGCACCGATGATCGAACGTAACTAGCATCTTTATGTCCGCTTATCTAAGGGGCAAGGTTTCGGAACCGTACAGTAAGCTCCAACATACCGGTAATTAAGGACCCGCAATCACACCTGTTCAGAGACATGCTTACGAAGCAGCTTTCAATCTCAAGGCCATCGGCCACGCAGTACAACATGAGATTAGAGCAGCTTCGAAACAATTCTACAATAATGAATCTGTTTCACGGAACTGGAAGAAGCAAGATGACTTACGCCAAGTAAAGAAGGCAAATAACAGTTTCCGAAGGAACAAAGCAAGATAGTTACAGTTAAAGGACAAAATTGTGCAGTGGATTACTGAACATGGAGCAGTAGATGGAAGCGCCTCTCCAGTCTCCATTCGATTCAAGACAATAGTACTTGATATGAAGATGATCGGCTTTCACGGATGTCCTTCTTGGTTCTTCTGTTTTATGTATATGCATCATCTCTCCATTCGCACACGAACTGCCACCTCGCAGCAACTGCCAAAGGATTACGAAGAAAAGTTGGCAAGACCAACATTACCGAAAGGAACATTCAGCCAGACCATATCACAGACATGCACGAGCTTCTTCTCAGCTTTGACATCCCCGTGAACCGTACTGTTGTAAAAACGGGGGCGTTTAGTGTATCTATACCACCACAGGGAATGAGAAATCATCTTTCACCGTAATTCTCGGTTGCCAGGCTAATGGCGAGAAATTACCACCCATTGTCATTTTTAAGAGGAAGACTGCCAAAATATGGTTTCCTGTTGGGGTCATCGTCAACCTCAACCCAAAAGGCTGGGTGGATGAGGAGCAAATGAGCGACTAGCTGGGAAAAATTTACGTCAGGAGACCGGACGACTTTTTCCACAACTCGTCCTTATCGATCTACGACTCCATGCGCGCCCATCTCACCGAAACTGTCAAATGCCAAGTGAAGTAAACTAATTCGCAGCTTGCCATCATTCCGGGAGCATTAACCAAAGAACTTCAACTGCTAGATATCGGTGTCAACTGGGCGTTCAAAGTTAAATTGCGAGTCGCGTGGAAACATTAGATGATAGAAGGTGAGCACCCGTTTACCAAGAGAGGGAGACAACCTTGGGTTAGTTACACCACTATCTGTCCTAGGATCGTAGATATCTGGCCTAAGGTATCGGTCTCAATTGTCATCCGAGCTTTCACGAAGGCCGGAATCATCAATGAACAGGCAAGCAACAGCAACGAGACTGACTCAGGTAATGACGAGAGGGATCCGGGCTTGCTTGATGCCACTATCGTCCAACTATATACACCGACACTGAAGATGAAGAATTTGACCAATTTGTACCATAGGAATGGTTGAAAAAAGTGTATTTTTCTGTGTTTTATGTGTTACAAGTGAACAATCTTGACAGTTCTTGTTAATGACTTGCATTAAGTCTGACCTATCGGACTATTTTGTTTCGCTTTATGCGCCTTATAATCCGGTGCGCCTTATATATGAAATTAGATCCGTTCACTGATACTGCGTCTTATAATCCGGTGCGCCTTATCTTCCGAAACATACGGTAGTTCCCTATTGTTTATTACCAACTCCGCCTTATTCAAGCGCACACAATCCCTATGTACTATCCTGATACACAGTGTATTTGTGAATCCTGGAACTTGCCAACGTTTATTTCTATTGTTCATTACGCATTGGGATATTCTGCCTTGATTTGATGTGGCCCCGCTCTCATCGGATCGCTGCTCTTATGGTAAGGGATTTCATGATTCACTTCATCCATCCTTGTTCTCATCACCGTATCTCTCTTCCTCTCAACCTGATGATATCAAATGCCAATATTCAAAATTACTGTGTGGATTCACGGCGCTGGCTAGGGAAGACTTGACCGTGACGGCCTACCACTGTCCTCTGTACGGGCAATAACCTGCACGGCAGTGGAGGATAGGTCGGGCTATATCGCAGTTAGGTTTCAATTCGTAATGGTCGGCTATCACCCCCCATGACTTAGTGACATATGCTGCTGGCTAGTTGGCGTTAGCCTCTAGCAGTCATGGGTTCGATCCCCAGTAGGGGACCGATGGATGCGCACTACTGACGGGCTCCAATAGGGCGAAACGCGCATTTGGTGCTTTTCCGGATTGGTCGAAATGCCTTTCGTGGTGCGCAGTATTTTCTGGCTGGCAACAACACCCACTTTCCATCAACAACTAGTAGTACATGTAGGTAAGCTGAACCGACGCTTCACTTTCGTTCAACCAGAATAACCTAGGAACCACAGGATAATGAGAGGTAAAGAAGTGGGCATTAGCATAGAATCTTAATGATCCAAGTAAACATTTGACTCCAAGCGCCTACACTTTGTCACCAGCATACCGTCACAAACATCTGGCTATTGTGTGAAGATAGAGCGACATTTGGGAGAGAGCTTCTTTGCGGTCTCTATTGTCCCGTGGCATAATCAGCTGTTACCTTACAAATAGCTCAGCAATAAACACACACTTTAAACCGACAGTCTGGCTACGAGACGACTGCAAACACGCCACTGGTGTCGACTGTAAGCCATATCCCGTATACTCTGGAGCCTAACACAAGATGGGTCGCTTAACATCATCTAACCTGGAAAGCAAGACGGTCTAGCAACACCCAGTGTATTCGTCAATGACTTTGTCTCAGTTCCCTTGAGCTTTGAGCCATCCAAGATATAATAGAATGGAAAACATGGCTTTTCTCTCACTCACTCACTCACCTTTTCACTTTGGTTGTGTTGAACACGTTATGTTCCTGCCGATAATACTGGTGACACGACACTACTGCTGCGAACCCCTACTTTTCCGAACTTCTTAACTCGGAGAACGAACGTCTTGCCAATTAGCTTCGATACAACTCTTATTTCCGTAAGAGATGTGGCACTCTGGTGTTGAACAGACGATATTCTTGATCATTTTCGTTGACACCATCTCTAATCATTTGGTTGCCTTTTAGCCCACGTGAAGAGTTGCTTATTCGCAGTTGCAGCGATGAAATGAGCATGGATGATTTTTCCTGCAGCTCTATTCCTCTTAATTTTGCAGTATATGCATCCCGTGGCTTTTCTGCGGACACCGACCGTCCGTCACGTTTCACATACCCACACTGATAAGCGTCTGAAGGTGAACACCATGTGGGGAGGCGTCAGCAGGACGCCTGTACACAATGCCGATGCTTTGCTGCCGCGTAACGATCACTGGTCGCACGTGGACTAAGGATACTGCGGGAGTCGTCCGGTCACTACGCAGGCTCGATCCCCCGCCGGTCCGCACATCTGCCTCTCCGTCGCATATCTATCTCCGCCTGTCCGTTGCATGCATATCGGTCTCTTGACAAAATAGCAAATTAATCGCAGATAACTTACATTGCTTTCTTTTTTTGGATCGATCCCGTCCCTTCCGCTTACCGCTATCATGCAAAAGTATGCAATGTGTCCAGCCATCTTGTACCACTGGATCGCATCTTCCAACCGAGTGCATCTGTGTATAAGTGTATGTACAACTCCCCACTTTTTCATTTAAGTGGTTTCCACTCAAGTTCTGTGAGCTCCACCGCTTGTGTTAGCCTTTGCACCTTCTATCTCTGTCCGACCTAGATCATGCGCTGCGCAACCCACACACACATAGGACCCCATGGGTTACATCTTGACTGTCCAACGCATCATTAATTTTTTTCTCAATCATTTTCGCTGCCACCATAATATTGCTGTTCCTCCTCTCGACCCTTCATTTGTTTAGTTACGCGGGATTATCACGCGGAAGGATTTGTGTCGATTTCGATTCGAATCGGACGGTGACAAATTCCGAGTGGCGGAGTTGGCATTTTCCCGCAAGACAGATAAACCCACCAACATAAATCGCTGAGCGGCATGTGATTACTTTGTCCACACAGATTGCTAACTTTCCCCCTTAAGCTCCTCCTCCCTCCTTCTTCCCTGCTACACTCACGCATTCACTGATCGTTTTCCTTTTATTCTGATCTATTTTGTATGGGCCGATGAATTTTTTAATGACGCTTCTATGGCTGTCTTGTTGTTGATTTGCACGACCTATCCCAGCCGAATTGTTGCGTCTCTTCCATAAATTAACCCTACTGGGTTGTTGTTAGTTTTGATCAGAGCACACACATCTCTGGGTCATACAGCCAACCTTTCTCACGATGTTTGGTAACTCGTTGTTATTGTTTTGATTGGAGCATCAGGTGTATTCGAATGGGATGAAATTCCAATTTGGATCTCAGCCAAACCGGCCATTGGGACCGTATCCATTGCGATTAGAATGTGCTCTACTTGCAAACTTGCGCTTCGCAGCCGATTTTTCATTCCTCAGGTAAAGATAGCATGACTGTGACAGTGAACCGATGATATTGAGAGATCACTTAGTGGTAACGCTGGCAAGGTTATTTTGAGACACTTATGCGGAATGCGACACGCAGTCTTAATCTAGACTTCGATTCATTTTGTAGTGAACCACCTTCACCCTAGGACTGTATTTGCAACCGATATAAATGCGACGTCGCCGGTTTGTTGTAGTACCGCATTCCGTGGTCGATTTCGTGTTTCTCACCACTCTTCAAGCAGCGATGGACGAGCTGATAATGGGACCTAGGATGCAGAGATTTCCATATATGTGAAACGGACGAATGTAAGATGCTGTTGAGCGTCCAATTTTCCAGCCGTGGGTGCTGGATGTCTCGTTTTGATGTGGCGAGCTCGTCGCACCTGATGATTGTGCAAACTGGCTCGATGGGTTTCGATCTTCATTTCGATTAGGTGATTGATGTATCCAAAGGAGCTGCGAAGGACCATTAACTAATACCCTCAAAAGTACCATACTCATGAGTACATCGATTGCAGTAATTGACCATACTTCTGAGGTTGCGAACATCAGATGTTGCAGCGGGCACAGTGGAGTTCCGGTTGGATTAGCTCCTAGTCTGTATGGTACGCATGTCATGCTGTTCAATCTAGTGTTCAGTGGACGGTCAATAAAAATTGCATTTATATAAATCTCTCGTGATACCACTAATTTCTGCCCTCTTGGACAGAATTGAAACTGATTCATAGGGCTACTCTTTGAGGTGCCGGCAACTGAACTGTCTCTTGTATGCCAATAACAGCAAATAAGTCCCCTAGTACCAAAACCAGTGCTTGCTCTTTGTTGCGCAAATCGGATGGCATTTGCTAGGTTGAACAGGAAAAAATTGCCTAATGACGGTCTTCTACGGCACACCCATAAAAGCCCTTGCGATTCTGGTTGGTCATCAGAACAATCGAATGCCACCAATTTATTAGCCATGCATTGAGCTTCTTAGAAGCGCAATAGACGCCATCTTAGCGACCGTCTCCTGACTTGATCGCCAAGTGAGGACGTGTCATTAATATACTACTCGAGGGTCGTGAGATGCCTTGCTCGAATCTGCTCCCGAATTTCGGCTAGGTTGTAGTCTGCAGATACTCACTCGTTTCAAGAATATTGCTTGCCTTTGACTGGCATATGGTGCTTCGCGGCTCCGGCTGTCAAAGCTAACAAACCTGATGAGACGTGCTTTTCCACCCCGTTTCTTCTGAGCACGTACCCTATTTTATTCCCTGGGATCAAAGATGGGTGACGAGATAAATAGATTGCAATCAGCAAGCACATTCGAGCCAGTCAAATACGGTGATTGGGAGTTTTACTAGTTCCAATTCTGAAGCCGGATGGTTCTGTACGTATTTATGGTGACTATAAACTAACTGTTAATCGTTGTTTAATTCTGGATAAGTATCCCTTACCTTGTGTAGAGGATCTGTATGCTAAACTGGCAGACGAGCATAAGTCCACACATATCGACCTCACTCACGCGAACTTACAACTTGAGTTAAACGAGATCTCTTGCCCATTCACTACAATAAGTACACAAATGGGTCTATTACAGTACAAATGTCTGTGATCTAACCTCTACAACTGAGTGGACTCAAACTGAAGGAATCGAAGAGTACATATTTCTCGGATTCCGGTTACCGCCTGGATAAAAACTGATTACACGTGTTGGAAGACAATTTAAGCTCATTCTTCTCACACCTGAACCCAAAGAATAGGCTGAATTTCGTTCATTTTTTGGAATGTTATCTCACTATAGTCGCTTCTTGCCTAAACAGTATTTGCACCCTTGTACAAACTGTTGCACAAGAGGAAGTCCTGCATTTGTGGTTCGAATCAAAGAAGGGTCTTTACAGATGTTTAAAGAGCGCTCAGCGCCTCCCGTCTCCGTGCATTTCAATCCGAGCCGACCTCAAGTGTTGCAGTAAGATGTATTTCCATGCGAAGTAGGCGCGGTCCTTTATCACCGGATGGATGACGGTCCTTTTAGCCCAATGACTTTTGCTTCTCGCATTCTGCAACCTGCTGAAAGAAAGTACTCTCAAATGGACTGAGAGAGCTTAGCGATTATTTTCGGAGTCAAACATTTTCACCAGTAAGTCTGCGTACGACAGTTCTATATCCACACTGGCCATAAACCACTTCACTTCTGGGTAAGGAGGAGGAGGGAATCGAGCAAGTTTTTTCGCCTCGATTGCAGTTGTGGGCACTGCTTTTGAATGCATCTAACTACAAGCTTCAAGATGTAAACGGACTAAGTAATACTATTGTCGAGGCACTCAGTCGCCCCCCCACTGCAGCATGGCACAAAAACGAATAGTGAACCCATGGAGTATATCAATTTGATGCAACACTTTGAAAAGACACCCATCCGGAGTGCGATGGTGCGGTGCTTAATGGACCGTGACTCTGTGTTGTCGATGGTGAAGCGGTACTTGTTGACCAGATGGTCTACAAGCACGTCAAATGAACTGAAACCATTCGCCCGTCGGAGTAATGAGTTGAGTCTATACGACGGCTGTATATTTAGAGGCTCGCGCATAGCTCCACCAGTTACAGAGAGCTGCATGACGCACATCCCGGCGTGAACACGATGAAGGCGCTGGCATGTGGTTACTGTTGGTGGCCGAATATCGACCAGGATATAGAACGGCTGCGGAAAAGTTGTGAACACTATCAGAAATACAAAGGCAAAAATCTCCCTGACCGATACACCCAATTCGGTGGCCGGAGAGACCCTGTCAGCTGGTACACGTAGACTATTTTGGCCCAATCAATGGGTTGATGTGTCTACTTTTGGTTGATGCCCATTCTAAATGGATAGAGGTACATCCAGTTACACATGCGACTTTCACAGCAACAGTTGAAAAAATGCGCTCCATACTCGTTATTTTCGGTATCTCGGAGGCGGTATGCACTGACAACGGAACCCCATTTACCAGTGAAGAATTTCAACACTTCCTGAGTAACCACGGGATAAAACATACTAAGTTATCGCCGTCGAATTGAATAACAGAACATGCAGTCCAAACTGTTAAGCAAGGTCTCATCAAGCAGACTCATGGAACTCTACAAACTAAGTTGGATCGTCTCCTGTTCTCTTACCGTACGACACCGACTGACTCGACAGGGAAATCACCCGTGAAATTAATGTTTGGTCGGCCACTCCGAACGACACTGCATCTACTTTTTCCGAACTCTCGAAGGAGAATGGATGAAAAGCAGGAAAAAATGTGTGTGAATGAAAAGATGCCAGTCGAAATGTGTCTTAATGGTTTTGATTCGGCATACACAAGACTGCCTCACGAAACTAGCTGGCGAAGCAAGGAAAAATGTGTGAAGATATCTGCCCCAATTATTTTGATTGAGTGTACACAAAATCTCATGAAGCAAGCTGGCAACTCGCTGCACTTTTGTCCTCAACGAGCAACCAAGCAGAGCTGCAGCTGGAGGACGGCTGCGTGGTGCGCCGATACTTAGACCATATCTGGCGTCGCTAAATCGAATCGCATGAACTGGGTCAACAATGGACCGCTACTGACGCAAAAATAGATGGGGAATCGACCTCACAAACTAAGGAGCCACAAACGGATGCGGAATCACATCTATTAAAGCGTTCAAACGCACGCCTAAGCCAGTTGCTCGGTATTAACCCGGAATCTGCAGTCTTGAATAGGGAGTAGAGGGGTGTCATGTATACACTTGAATATTAGTCATGATCACAGGTGCTCACGCAATTGGTCAACCATGACCTTGCTTTACCTTCCTTATTTCATTGGTCCTTTGTTTCGGCATTCCAGCTCCCTGTAACGTAGAAGCTTGCATTAAATGGTTTCAAACTGCGCCTGTGTGTTCTGCTTTATCCATCGGGCTACGGGCTATTCTTAACACTCAACGACCAGTCCCACGCGTCGTCGAGGTCTTTGTGGCTTTCATCGTGGTCGTCCAATCCCTTGGTCGCTCACCAAATCTTAACGTGGTCCGCGAAGGAAAAATGTTGATGTGATAGATCTCGCTATATCGTTAAAAACTAAGCATAGGTGAGACCTATATACCGAATCCTGCTGTATGCCGTACTCCGCTCGATTCGGTTTTTCAAAATGTACAGTAAGGCACAGACAAGAGATATACGTGTCCTGTGTGGATCCAGCCTAATTCCATGAGTGCACTGCTGATGGCCGAAAGTTTTGATCACATTCGGTGTGAAGAGAATTGTCTACAGATAAAAGCTTAATGTAGACAAGCCCTCGTTTGTTCTTTGATGTACCAGCAGTTTGTTCCGTAGATAAGTAGGCTTCATTGGGAAGGAATTTAGGCGGAAGTTTTGATTTTATCTTCTCTAAGGGTAACTGATATCTCTTCGAGGAGGATAGTTTGAACCCATTTGTAAAATGGTACCTGTACGAGTTGGGAAAACGTAAAATTGTATGACACTGTGGAGAAGAATGAGGTCGCTCTTCAGTCGTTAAAGCCGGAGGTGGGGACGTAGTTCCCAGTGCTTAAGTGTTGATAAACACCGTAAGATCAATTTGGTGCATGGGCACTGAACTAATTCTAGTACCATTCTATGTGTTTTGCGCAGTAGGCTATGTATGATGTTGCAGTACTCTAGTGTGGCTCACAGTATGG